TTCACAATCAAGTAATGTTCAATTATCCTATTTATGATATGCACATCCACAGATGTTCACAGATATGGGCTTCAAGTGATCCAAACAAGAAGTTTGCATTTCTGAAATAGTGTAATCGAACTTTGCTTGACTGTGAAAGTTTACCATGGTTGAGTCTATGTATGTATGTATGTATGTATATATATATATATATATATATATATATATATATATATTTAAGATACTCCATATTCATGGGTTAAAGTGCTAAATATCAGGGATAGTGTATGTAAATATAAAAGTCGATATTGAATCAACAACCAGAGGTGACAGTCTGTTTCATGCTTAATCGAAATAGTGTAATTGAATTTTGCTTGACTGTAAAATTTTACCATTGCTGAGCCTTGTATGTATGTATGTATGTATATATAAAATATAGTTTTAAGGTATGCTATATTTATGGGTTAAAATGCTCAATATCAGGGATAGAGTTTATGTAAATATAAAGTCAACATTGAATCAACACCCAAAGGTGACATTCTGTGTCATGCTTAAATGCCTGATGATTGTGTTTAAACATGAAACAGACTGTCACCTCTGGATGTTGATGTCAATGTCCACTATATATATATATATATATATATATATATATATATATATATAAAAAACACAAAAGCTTTCATGTTTCAATACTATCAATCAGGAATCAGTTTAACACCTATTTTGCAGTGTACACTCATTAGAATTTCTACAATTATAGGTATCAAACTGGTTCCCTTATTTACCTAAGTACTATTTCTACTATAGAAAATCCAACAGTTAAAAAAAATTATATTGGCAGTACCAATAATTCTTTCAACGCAAGGTGGTGTCAATTTATATTATCTTTCAACAACAATGCGTACAGAAATAGGACATCTGTTTCTAAATATTTTTGGTTCTTAAAAGAAGTCAACAAAACCCCTATGGTAAAATGGAAAATATTAAAAAAAAAAAAAAAAGTAGAACTTGTAAATTTTTATCTGATCTATGTTTCCTGTGTTTACAGGAAAAATTCCATATAATCAAGTTTGCTGACAAAAAAGCTCTGTTAAACTAAAGAAGTGTGTGACCGACAGTCTACCTTTTTTTTACCTTAGAATATAGTTTAAAATTTTTTATAAAAAACAGTTACGTAATACGATTTTATAGCCATCATTTTTTATTAGTATATAATGGTCCACTCTCTAGGGTTAATTACTTTATTTGGTTTATTCAACTTTAATATTGCTATTTTGCTGTCTATTCAGTATCATTAGCATCCTATATAGATGTTCAACATTTTTAATTTTATCTATAAGCCTCTTTAAGAAGCTTTCTGAAATTAAAATATTTGTTTCTGATAACTTTACGTCAGATAACCTCCCCAACCACTTCAACAAATAGAAGGTCATATTTGGCTACATCTATGATACATTTGTCGCTGTCCTCCCCAGACGTCAAGGATGACCTGTCTAAGCACCAGTTTATCATGAAATGAAAAATAACTCACCCACCTCCACCCTCTGACCTTATTTTTCTAGTTAGTGTAGATCTGACTTTCAATTGGTTAATCAAAACATACCCACAAGTATATTTTATATAAAAAATAATTTTTATCACCAGTTACCAACTATCACCTGAGGAAGTATAATCATAGTATTGAAACATGAAAGCTTTTGTGTAATGATTTAAAATGTTTTTATTATAATCTCTCATAATAAAAATATAATAATATTCTGCTCTACTTTATATTGAGCACTTTTTAAAAAGTAAATGCTACAAACTGTAGATTTTTACTCCATTTGTTCTTTCTCTTATTTGTGTGTGTATGTCTCTCTCTCTCTCTCTCTCTCTCTATATATATATATATATATATATATATATATATATATATATATATATATTATAAGCCATTCTAAAACTAAATAAAATAATCTCTGTTTGAATTTCTGAGATGTGGTGTTATCATTAGTTACACTATTTATATTCAGATTATTGTCCTCATCTTTGTTGTTATCTACTATTGTTTAGTAGGTGTATATCAATCTGGGTAACCTACAAGGAATTCTGAACTGAACCTTTATTTAATCTACTGGAGAATGTTCTCATTCCACTGGCCATGTCTAGGGACATTGTTTAGTTATTAATTTTAGTACTGCTCAGTTATTGCCGACTCATTTCCACAGAGTTTACGTATATACTCCCCTCCCAGGGGTTTAAGCAATACTTTTCTTCTGTTCAGGATTCTCTTGAAAGAATTTAATATCAGAAAGATAGGCTGAAAATTTTGTAAAATTAGGTGATCACAAGAAGCGTCTGTGGATGTCCCATAAATTAGTTTGCCAATGGCTGAAATTTTCAGGTGTTCTTAAAATTGCTTTTTATTTACTTTTTTGAAACATGTATCATCACAAAAGATTACTTTCAGTGAATATAAAGCAATAACTGCAAACATTTGCCAAAAAAAATAAAACAAAGTCACAAAGAACTAAATCTCTGATTTTTCACTTCCTGACATGGGTAATGCAATATTTTGCTGACAAACAACATAACTTTACTAATAGCTTCCTTTTTCCTTTTATATAAATACTTTCATAGTAATTGTTCTAATGAACTTTCCTCTATGGTACCTAGACTTTATAAATTTAAACACAGTAATAAATTGGCAGCAAGGTCTCATCATTTTACCGTCAAAGTGGCTATATATAACCATATGTTTTATGCTAACAGTTTTTTCCATCACACTTCTCACTTATGAAACTCTTTTCCTGTTTCCCAATCAAGTTTGTCAATCGTTATCTTCTGTCTTCTTAATTCCTGTTCTTTTATTGTTCTCTCCCCTTAATAGTGTTTTTCATTTTCTTATATTCTCACTCAACAACCACTTGTATCTTAGTGGCTTTATTGCTTTGCTTAGGGTGAAAGGATTTAAAAGAAAAAAAAACTTGCACAAGACATGAAGAATAGGCAACCATAATGCCAGGATCAATGTAATGCACATGGTACAAACAATGAATGTGACATCTAAGAGCTTACAATTCTTTTCTGTTTATGACATTTTGTTTTTTGTTTTACTGTTTGTTTTGTTGTTAAGTTTATTTTGTATGTGATTTTTGTTTTTACTTATTACAAATACAAAACTATAACCACCTTACAACATTTAAATTTTATTTTCATACATAAAACTCAATTTTATTTTACATTTAGATAAATTTTAAATTTGTTTATAAATTATGTATATATGTTATTTTTTCTCAAAGAAATTCACTATCAGTTAATATTTTTTAAAAAAACCTAAATTTCAGTTAATTACATATGTCAAATAAATAGGATAAATTATTAGTTACCTGTTATATATTTATACCAAATGCATTTAAAATAATATTGAATACTATAGATTTTTAATTGTTTTCTTTTCAGTATGCTTCCTTTAAAAAAAATCTCTTATATTCTCTATTAGGTTTCAGTAATATGCTCAAAAAAATTACTTATAAATAACAATTTTATGCAATAATCACAGATTTCTTGATGCATACTAAGTCAAACCAAACTTAGAAATGATGTAGAAACAAAATTATTGATTTTCAAACTTTAAATTTCATAAGCAGCTAAAGAAGTTGCTAATATCAAGATGGGAGTTTGTTTTATTTTTCCATCTCTTTTTTTTATATTTATAAGTTTAAACTTTAAAAAAATTGTTGCCTTATTTCAGCTTTAATTTTAAGCATCCCTTTTAAAAGCCCCTGAAAGTAATAATAATAGTTATAATAATGTAGTTTGCTCCAACCTTATATAAAACAATACAATATAAAATCATGGAGTTCTTAGATATTTTACATTCCTACATAGTTTTCAAAAGATTATAAATAAAAAGAAAAAAAAACATCTAAATGCTAAAATTAAATTTAAATAAGCAGCAGAAAATGGTTTTAAAAATAATGAAATTTATGATTGATTGTTTTAATTTTATCAAAATGTTTTAATATAATTTTCTAATGGTAATAGTAATATTAGCTATTTCCTTATCAGGAAACAAGCAACATTCACTGACCAAGCAGCCAGTGCTCCTGTTGACTGAAACTAATAAAATCTTGAGTATTGCTGCCATATCTGGGCTGGAGCTGCCCAATCCTCTCACTCCAGTCTTGACTGAGTGCAAAAGTATTTACCCAGCCTTGTAGGTAGTGAATTATTTTCCAATCTACAGCCCCTTTCCCACAAAAAAAAAAACACTGCAAGCCTGTCGCTACTCCATTAATATTTCCATGGCAAATGTTCAGATAAGATACATCTCCTATTTCCACCAGTTCAGACCTTTACATGTAAACCCCACCATGCCATGTACACTTAGGTGAACCATTGTTATTCACCCCATATATCATTGGTGAAAGAGGTTTAATTTGAACAGCTTCTTTCCAAGAGCCACTACTTTATAGACCAAACTCCTCAAGGGATGCTTCCCTGGCTACTATAATCTTAACCTCTTTGAATCTAGGGGTGTACTATTATCTGTCCTGCATATGCACATAATCTACAATTACATCCATAAAACAACCCCATTTAGCAATACTCTACCTTGAATGGCTCAACTTTATATTGAATGAATAGTGAAAAAAAAAAGAGAGAAGGTGCTTATAAGTTCTCAGCCCAACCAACAATCCACCCCCCTCCCAAAAAAAGAAAAAAAATTGATGCTCTTTAATCTTAGATTTTTAATGGTGGGTTAGCTTGAGTCCTTATCAGCATCCCCCTCATATATTTACATGAATCTTTAAAAAAAAAAAGACAAGTGTTTGAAATATGTATCTTAAAAGAGCAAAGTTATATATGAAGTTTGCCACTTTGAGTCATATTAATTCATTGTTCCTCAGTAAAAAAAACATGTCCTTCAATGAATGACTGAATGAATGATCTTTACCAACTGTTCTTATTTTGATTGGTTGAGGATAAGCAATTATCTCTCTTGACTCTTTTAGATAGAAGTCTTTCTGATGCCAAACATGGTGAGTTTAGTTCACATACTTTTATTTTATCCTAATCCCTCTTTTACTCATTCACTAACTCACTCTCACTCCCTCTCTCTCTCTCTGCTTCAATATCTGTTCATTTTCAGATATCCATTACTAATACCTCAGTTCTTTTAATGACCTAACTGCACAAGATCCTCTTTAATTAAAATAACTTTTCCTTCTCCATCATCATCATCATCTTTTGCTTTCTGTATAGTAAAATCCCTTACTGGATCATTACCTTGTGTAAGGGAAGGTAGTAAATAAATGCCATTCTGCTTGCACAAATTCTGATGTTAAGTGATACTTAACATGTACAGTGTTTATATTTTCTTGTCATTGATCACTCACTTACAAAAAAAAAAAAAAATTGAATGAAAACCACTGCTGAGCCTTAAATCTAGATTTTATGCAAACCACTTCCCACAACGGCAATAACACCACTACCAAACACACCAAAAACTCTAGTCTTGACATTAAATAATCCATAAGGGTTGATATACTGTTAACCAAAACATTGATAATACTCACCCAAATGGATTTTTTCATTTCACACTTTTTGTTTATTATTTTTTTATTTATTGTTAATACTATTTAAAGATTTTCTTGGTAGCACAGAATTTAATTGAAAATGGACATATTTCAAATATGAGTTAAAAAAAAGTTAAAAAGCAAGAGAAAAAAATAATCCATGAAAATTTTTTTTTTTATTCTATATTCTCTCCAAGCAAGGCAATAATGCCACTAAGACACACTAAACACAAGGGGCTACTGGGAGTGAAAGAGAATGAAAAGACTTTAGAAGGAACTTGAAATCCAATCCTTAATAGAAAACAAAGGATAACCCTCTACTCCTGTTCAAAAAACCAGGAAGGAATGTGAACAGAACAATAGACAAGAAACAAGCCTCTACACCTGTTCAAAAGACTGGGAAGGAGTAGTATGACCCAATGATAGGCTAATCTATATAGTCCTGCTGAGGAAAAATGAATAATAATAAAGTTAAAAAGCAAGAGAAAAAAAAAATCATTGAAAATTATTATTTTTTTTGTTTTTTTTGTTTTTTTTTTAATCACTTCACTCCAAGCAGAAAACAGGGGATAAAACTCTACTCTGATTAAAAGACTGGGGAGGAGTATGAACTAAACGATTTTGCTCCTTCATTTTTTAGTGCTTGCTTTTTCTCTTGTTTTTTAATTCAGATTTTAAATATGTCCATTTTCTATGTCATAATTATGATTATTATTATGATGATGATGATGATTTATTATTATCATTGATGATCAGCAGTAGTTAGATTTAAAAATTATCTCGTTTAACCTGTTTTCTAAGCTATTTATTTCCTTATTACGAAATATTTAATAATTACTATTCTAAAATAGTTAAAAATGGGAATGCAGAATATTAAGCTTTCCTTATTGCTATGATGATCATCCAGTGCATAGTAAAATAATTTATAAAAAAAAAAAAGGTCAGGCCTTTTTTTTATTTCTTTTCTTTTTATGCATTGTTTCACCAGGAAAACAATTGTTCAAGTTGTGCATGCATTTAAAACTAACATTTAAGATAATGATGTTTCATTCAGTAATTCTCTTCAATTAGTCCTGCATTTGATCATCAGTATACAACTGCTATAGATTTTGATGTTTTTCCTTGAATTATAATTCACACCTATTGCAGATGAGATAAGAACCAGACAGACTGCAAACACTAAGTTTGTTGGTTACTATGATTAGTTGATTTTCCATATCAACTTTTATTGTGCTATTTAATGTCAAATTATAAATGGAGCACCCAGTGAGTAGTGTATGCACTACTCGGTAGCAATAGTCAACCAGACTAGCTTTATTAACAATTACCACCACTAAATTAACACTATTACTAAATTATATATGTAAGTAAAGTGTACTACTATAATTCTTCAAATAATTTAAATTATATATAGATATGAGGATAAACATTATAACTAGATATAGTGCTGGGTTTTCTCACTAAATCATGACTTCCAAAGTTCATGCACACATACACACACACATATATTTTTTTTTTTATTGCTTTAAGTGTTATTTTTAGTGGATGCTCATATTTGAGTAGATGCTCTGTTTATTATTTTTTTAAACAGTATTTTCATCTACTAGCCTGAATATTCAAAAAAAATCTTATTAAAGAAAAAATGCACCCATCTAGCAGGATTCAAACCTGTGTCCACCTTTTTAGGCGAAACCATTGTTCTTTTAACCAACTTGCCCATGAAGAACATTAATTAAGCAAGTTTCTATACTACCTGTCAGGCACATTTCTCTCTCGTTCAGATTATTGAAAGTTTATAACTGCTCAGTTTTGTATTCATAACGTAAACAAATTAATTTCTAAAGAAGTGATGGATTTTTTTTATTTATTAATCTGATGGTTTCTCCTACAAAGGAGGATAGAGGTTTGAAACTTGCCAGAGGGCACATTTCTTCTTTAATAAGATTTCTTGAATATACAGGTCAGTAGACAAAAATATATGTATGTTTTAAAAAATAAATAGAAATGGAACATCTACTCAAATATGGATATCCACTAAAAATAACATTTAAAGTGATAAAAATGTGTTGGACTAATAAATAAAACATCCATTACTTTAGAATATATATAATTTGATGTAATCCAACAGAGCTATTAAATATATATATATATAAATAAATATGCATATTAGTCCTCACTGATAGTATGACTCAGTTTCATGCACAACACAGTCTTCAGGTGCTGAGTATGGGCTGACTATTATGTAATTTGAATTTTAAAATGCCAAATATAATTTTTAAAATTAAAAAAAAAAAAAAATTGTAATCCCAGTTTACTATATAAATGCATCTAACATTGCGATAAATTCAAATTATGCAATCGGCAGCACCTAAAAATTGCAGTGAGCATGAAACTCTGAGTCATGCTATCAGTGAGGGATAATATGTATATATATTAAAATAAATAAGTATATATATATATATATATATATATATATATGATTGGTGTATATGGAATAAATTCCAATAACCATCAATTACTATTCTTAAAAGAGTGTTGAATACAGAGTAGAGCAGATATAATTATTTATTCGAAAATTATGACATAAATATGTTATAAAATCGCTACAAAAATAGCCATTTTGTTTCAAAACCTTCAGTGTCTTATCAAGTGATGATGTTGAATGTAAAATAAATGGTTTTAAAAGTTTCAAGTTAATTAATGATCCTTCGTAAGGGGAAAACACTTTTACAAAAGCTAGAATGACCAATCAAAACACAAGTATAGGAGAATTCAAAAAAACTTGACAATGAAGTAAGGTTATAATAGCTATTAAGAGCTTTAAAGTTGGGGTGATACTAAAATAGAATTTATTCTGACCAATAAGTATTAAATTATATGATAAAATTTGATATTAAAATTAAAAGTAAAAAATTGCCAGTTTTAAAATTTGAATTCTCCTATTTTGACAAAATTAAATCTAATGAAATACTTATATTAATATACTTTGTTTAGTTTCTTTGTTCGACTAAATATTTTGTAGGCCATCCCCAAAAAAACATTTTTAGTGGCTCATAGCATATAAACTATTTGGGAGAAAGGTAAAATGAAGCCAAACATAGTTTATTTGCATAACAAATTACAGGGATACTAACTTTCAGCTTTATATTCTCTTAAGTAGCAAATTTATAAGGTGCCATAATCAACAAGCCTATGATTTTGGCATGAAAAGTTGCTCCACAAAAATGTTTTAACTTGAGACAAAAATTTCTCCACAAAATGTACCTTCTGTCACATGGGCTTCACGCATGTAAGGATATATGGTAAAAACATAAAAAATTTCTTAAACTGCTAATGTCATGAAAATAGGCAATCTTTAAGGATGTTAAAAAATTGAGCAATTTTCAAAATGTAATACTGACATTCCCATAACAGTAATGAATATGGTTACTAAACATAATTAATCTATTATGTCATAAATGACAAGAAAACTAATTTTGATGTTGTATTTGACATACTTTGTAAATGAGAAGCTCTCAAATTGAACAGTGTCTTTCTGCATTTGGACAATTTTCAGAGCCTTGTAAAAATAAAAGTTCAGAAATCACACCTAATCTGTTTATATTTTTGTAATCTACAATAAATATTAACTATTGTCACCAAGTTTCAAAACTGTACATGCTATATCCTTGGAGATATGCATGACAGAATTTCATTAAAAGTCTTATGTAGCAAAATGCAAAAATGCAGTGAAATTTCAAGATACTCTGATTTTAAACCTATTAAAGATCAGGATCTAATATTTGTACTTTATCAAGAAATGTAATAAAGGAACAATGATAATATTTTCCCAGTTTTTCTGAAACAGTCATCTGTGGTCATTGGTTGAGTTGAGAAGGAACAATAATATATATATATATATATATATATATATATATAAATAAATAAAAATTAGATGTTCCTTAAATTCATTGGCTTACATAAACACATGCACACTACACCACACACACACACACACACACATGTGATGGGTGCTGAAAAGTTCTCAGACTGATCCACATTTCAGACCTGACCAAATTCAGGATTTATTTTTAATCCCTTCATGGTTAGGCTGAAAACTTTTTAGGAGCCCTCATATATGTGTTATTGTAGAGTCTACTTGTGTTATGATATTTGAATTATTTTCTTTATACTTGTATTACTACAAAGCATTGTTCTTGCTTGATATAGATGCTATTATAGATACAGTGTTTCAACCAAGTACTCTCAGGTCATCATCATTGTTTGGCTAGTATAGGATATCTGTTGATTATTGTGTTATTTTGTCCCAGTGATGCCTTCATGTGAAACCAGTACTCTGCTACCTAATTGAGGGATTGAACTCAAAACTACTAGATGACATTAACACATATATAACCAACTCCTATATCCTATACACCAACATCTCAAGTAAATTTTATACAAATAAATTATGATCAATTTTTTAATAAAATGTAAAATACTATGTAAAACATTACATGATAAAATATTTTAAATATTGTTGAGATTATATATCAAACATCTCTGCTACTATCGACCTCACCTTATTTAACAGTGGGAATGGAGAGTTAAAAATATTTTTAGCAATATGCAATATGCTTATGCAAATTCCAGCCAAGGCGCGGAATAAATGCTCCTATTCAAAACACCACAAAAATAAAATACTACTTAAATAGTCAAAACATGAGGAAAAACTAACAAAACCAAAAGCAAGACCCATTGGAATTGGTTGAAGAATTGTCCAAAAGCTCATGGGATAATGAAAATTATGGAAAATTTTTGTACTCCCTTACTCCTACGAAACAGAAAAACTAAATAAAAAATCAATTAAATCTTCCTTGTCTGCCATATTTATATTTAACAAATGATGTTTAAAAGAAAAGGTTGCTGCCCAAATATGTAATTATATATATATATATATATATATATATATATATATATATATATATATATATGTGCACGCGCACACACACACGTGGTGCCAAAAAAGTTATTGATTCAACCTATTTCCCAAAATCAGAATTCTGTTTGGTCATCAATGCACTGATTTAGGGAAGTGGGTCTGACCCAAAACTTTTCATCACCACCCTGTATAAATATGTGTGTATATTCACATCTTCTGGAGAATAAGTATAAATTCAGTATTTTTTTTAAAGAATTTTTTCTCAAAGTTAATGCATGATTCTCTTTTAAATATAAAATATTTTTTATCTTTGTAATTTCATTCATTTTCTAAAATGCCTTATCCTAAATTTAATTCCATTTAAACGCTTTCTTTTTCTTTTAAATAAAAACTACTTTTATATCAGTTCTAAAACTATTATATATCTTCTATCTTGGTGTATACAACATGCATATTTTAATACTTTCTGCAAATGTTAAAAATATTTTCTGTTTTTTTTTTTTTTTTTTTCTGTGTTTTATTTTATTCCCTTGTTTTTGTTTTTTTTCCTGTTTTTTGTTTCTGTTTTTTGTGTTTCTGTATTTTTGTTTTCCTGTTTTTTGTTTATCTGTTTTTGCTTTTCAGTTGTTTTTTTTTTTTTTTTTTTTTACATATAAAATATGACATCAACTTTTTCTGTTTTTTGTTTGTTTTTTTTTTTTTTTCTTTTCTCACTATTTTTTGTAAAGTGGGAGGTTAGATAAAGTTTTTTTTCTTCCCTGTCTGGCAAATGTTTCTCTGGATAATAATTTTGCAGTTTATTTAAAGAAAATCTTTTTTTTCGCAAAACCTGCATTAATTAATTTTTGATCACAAATAGAAATTATTTAATGATCAAAATCAGAAAATAGCTTCAAATTTGATATAAAAACAACTTCAAGGAAAATGACTTTTATTTTTAAGATTAACAGTTAAAATAATTTTGTAGATTTTTTTAAATAGTTTATATTATTTATAACCTCATATTCATTCAAATTTAGCCAAAACCTTATCATTTTCTTTTGTTGAGCCATAAAAATCCAAAATTGTTTTCAAATTTATATATGTGTAGGATATATAAAATAATTATTAAATACCGTTGAAATTTATTTTTATTTTTTAATTTTATTTTTAATTTAAATTAATTTTTATTTTATTAATTGAAATTGTTCTTTTTTTAAAAGAAATTTGTCCTGGTTTCATGTTATTTCAATTATGTTTTTGTTTTGTTTTTGTCCCCTTTACATGTTTATTCATATAATTCCAATAAGGATGCAACAAAAATTTATTGTGTCATCATCAGCTTCATGGATCATAATAAAACAATGTTATCTATTATATATTTGGTAATACAAAAGTATTTCAGGTACAGTGTATCCACTATAATAATGATTAAAGTAATAAAAATGATGGATTAAAAATAAATCTCTTAATTCTTTAGAAATTGCTTTGTTTACATTTTGGATATGGAACTAAGCTGATATGAAGCTTTTAAGAAAATAATCTAGGATGCCCTTTCCTTAGAAAGCGAAAATTGGACCTTGCTAGCTATGTCATTCTTCTTGGCCAAGCAGTAAAGCACACTGGATCAAACAGTGGTTTCCCATACAAAGAGGGACACTGGTTCAATCCCTGCCAGGGAGTTCTTTTTTTTTTTTTTTTTTTTTTTGCACATTTCTAAAATAAAAAGTAAAGCAAATTAATTTGTCTTGACTTTGTAGTTTTGGTTCAACCCCAAATTATTTTATTAGGTTAACTTGTGATATTCTGAAAAGAATAAAATATTTTTAAAAAAATGAAAAATACTAAAAGAAAATTGTTCTAAAATCCATGCAATGGTTAATATGAAAACAATGCTTAAAGTAATATTTGAAGAGGAAATTTGGATAAAGGCATCAGTTAGATCCAGTGACAGGACCCAAAGAGTGTGATTTCAATACCCGGCTAAGGTAGTGGAGAACTTTCAGAGGAAAATTAACAGGAGATAACTGATAACTGATATTCATTAAACATGGCACATGGAACTAGAACAATCTACTCCAGTGAGCGAAATAAAGGGTTCAGTTCATGGCATGTTCCAAGAAGGGTTCAGTTCGGAGAGGCGGGACAACAACAGCCGAAAAGTTGTAATAAATATGGCGACAAAGATGAGGACAATAGTCCGAATAATGGAAATAATGTATTATTTTATTATTCTCTTAAGAAGCTTTAATAAAAGTAAAACATGTCAAATTGATAAACATTTCCTATTTGTTCTTTATACAAGCATTTATCCATATAATTATCAAACAAAGAAAAAAAATTAAAGAATTTAACTGGTATTGAAAATTATATAAAACTTATATATGTATTGTAATATTATTTTATTGATTGTTTGAGACCAGGTAAAAGATATAAATCACTCTGGTCAGCACTTCATTCATACTCCTTCCCAGTCTCTTGAAGAGGAGTAGAGGATTATCCCTGATTTCCTGTTTAGGATTAGGTTTCCAGTTCCTTCTAAAGTCTTTTCTTTTTCATTTCCAGGAGCTCCTTCCGTCTTAGTGGCATTATTGCCTTGCTTGGTATGAATTGATTTGAAAAAGAAGAAAAAAAAGAAGCTGTTTGGGATTGTACATATTTTAGATGCTTTTCAAATGTTTTTTGTCCTTGATTTTTACTCTGGTGAGAGGTTTGATTAAAACTGATTTAGTTGTTTACACTATTTACATCATTTGGACTGTTGTCCTCATCTTTATTGCCATTATTCATGACATTTCAACTGTTCTAAGTTCAGACCTTCAGGTGATATATGTTGGAATTTTGAACCAAACCCTTTATTTAGTCCATGGGGAGTAGATTGTTCTAATTCCACATGCCATGCCTTTTGTGAATATCAAAGTATTAGTTAATTCCCTTTAGAAATTCAACTCTCCAAGTTTTGTGTCCTCTGCTGTAGCCAGGTATTGAACTCAGAACTCTTTGGGTCAAGTCACTTTTTCAATTACTCAACCAACACTTTTATCCACTGGGCCTTGAGAACAAAAGTTACTAAAGGGAATTAACTGATACTGAGATATCCCAAAAAGGCATGTGGAATTAGAACAATTTACCTTCATGGACTAAATAAAGAGTCCAGTTGGAAATTCCAATGTATATTGCCTAAAGAAAGTTGGAGCGGACAACAGCCAGAGTCTGAACAATGTAAATAGTGTAAATAGTTACAATACCTCATCTTGGAAATATAAACAGATATTGGTTTAGATATTTTTAATCAATTTACAGTTTTTATATATATATATATATATATATATATATATATATATATATTCGACTCTCCCATTGTATTCGATGTATGAGGGTCAAGCAGCTCCGTTCCCAGGAAACCGATAACCCGACACCAGCACATAAGATTTGATTATAGTGGTGAAGGCTTTGTACAGAACCATCCACACTTTTTGAAGGGCTGAATACAGAGACCTGGTGCACTACGTGCCACAGGGACCCTCCGCAGGTTTTGAATTCCGAGTTGTCCATCTCCTAGACCATTTGTTAACCAAGGCTATAGAACTCAGTCTGTCCTGCTATTTACCCATAGCTGGAGGAAGAAGAGAATTCATACCTTTCTCAAGGGTATTAGCACATAAGTGAATGTAATGGTTTTGACTGGAATTCGAATTTGGTTCTCTGATTCCTCAATCCGAGCTGCTAACCATTACCCCACAGTGCCATATATATATATATATATATATATATAAAAACCTCTTTTTTGTTATGAATTTTCTTTTATTATGTTGTTTTTTATTGCTGAAATATTACAGAAATTATTGATTGGTAGCAAAAATGGCTATGCTAGTCCTGATGAATAGTCGGCACTGTACAGTATATTGAATGCCTTTTAGGAGACCAGGTAATTTCACTTTAAATAATGAAATTATATTTCCCACTATATAGGGCATAGTTTTATTCATTATCTACTAAAGTTACACTTTTACAGATTTGTATGTTTTTTGCAGGGGTGCTTCACAAAATTCCAACAGTCAAAACAATTTCCTTTTTTTCCTAATACCAGTCCTTCAGGACATAGGTTACAGATTTCTTTTCTTTTTGGGAAGGATAGCAGAGTGGTTTCCCTTAGCCTTCTCCACAGTTTTGAATTTCGAGTAAGTGAATGTAATGAACCAGACTGTATTTTGAACTTGGCTCTCCAATTTCTCATTTTGTGCCACTCAATAGGGATATCATTCTTTAGTAATTTTGAATGAAAACAATGTTTTTATTTTGTCTGAAATTAATTAATAAAATATATTCTAATACTGTGTCCACTATAATTTGAGTCTGTTTAATCTTGTTCTGGATTACAGCCATATCATGTTGAAGCACCAGTTCTTATATGATCACCAAGGTTAAACAATGTCAAGCCTAATCAGTACCCAGATGGGTGACCACTTGGGAATACCAGGTGCTTTAAGCTTGGGTGTGCAGGTTGTGTAATTGATAATGCCATGAAATTGGACAGCCAAGTTCCAATTTGGTTTCATTATATTCAATTGCATACAAATACCCTCAAGAAAGGTATGAATCCACCTCTTCTTTTCCCCACCTATGGATTAATTAGTAGGGCTTGTATGAGAAAATCATTATTATCTCAAAAAAAATTCTTACAATCTAAAATTATTTTCTGGCTTTAAATAACCTGCAAAAGGTTAAGCCGTTAAAAACAAATCAATCTCTTTGACTTATTGCCAACTAGGACCAGGGAGCTCTGTCTACCCTACTATTTAACCCATAGCTGAAGAGAGAAGAGATGGATTTATGCCTATTTGTGTGAAAGTGTGTGCAACAGACTAGAACAGAATTTGAACTCAGCTTTCCAATTCTTCTTTCAGTACTGGTAATTGTTACACTAAAAATACATCTTCTTATTACCACAGTATTATTTACAAGACTATTAAAATATCTTAAAGAGAATATATTTTTATGTGTTTTTTATTTATTTTTAACTCTAGTTTATTCATACCATGAAAAAAAGGGAGTGACCTTTTTCCAATTGCCCTCTTTGTTTGCTTCAGTTCCTCCACGATTTTGAATTAAATTGTCATCTAGTAATTTATTTCAATTTTTTTCAACATTATCCTAATAACTTATACATATGGCTGAAATTCACTGCCTTACTAAATTTCGCCATTTTAGATTTTTAATTGCTCTCTCGAAAGACAAATGTCTCTTATTTAAACATCACTTCTTAAAGCATGCAAAAACTATCAAATTAATACAAAATATTTGTAATTACATGTTAATGTCACCCAGTCAGAAAACAACAATGAAAAGAATTTGAAAATAAAGCTGTAAAAGGTGAGAATATGTTGTCCTCATGTGCAAATATCTTAAGTTTTCTTTCCAATTCATAATCTGCTATTTACACATGTAGTTCTCAGGCTATACAAATCTTTACAATATCTGTGAGAGCCTGGCATTCAAATGTTCGCTTTGCTACCAGAAAGACTTGAGAATTATTACTTTCTACTCCTACTGTCACTACCTAGCTAATCAGGAAATGTCTATCATTCCTTCATATGAAGTTTTACATAGAGAAGTCACAAAACCCTTGTTCTATCAATATTCTTTGTCAACATGACCAGTTTCCTCAAATAATATGACAGAGGATGATTTCATATCAGCTGCTAATAATTGCATTCAGACCAGCATATCTTTAAAGTGACTTTTTTAAACATAAGTTCTGCCTACAAATATTTGCATATCAATCCAAGAGAACAAAGTACCAAGAGAGGTAAGGTTAATAAATTGCTTCTTCTTTATGTGAAATATCTCTTCAGGACATTGAGGATCATGACTCTCCACAATTTCCTGTTCTTTGTAGCTCTTAATAAATTTTGTCTTTTTGTCATTTTCCTAAAACTTGTTCTGCCATCCATTTACTCATCTCACTAAGTATGTTATGTGTTGCTTTCCTCTGTCTGTCTTGTGTTCAATTTGTCCTGTGAGTATCAGATATTCCAAGCCCTCTTTCCTCATTATGTGCCCTAGAAATTACAAGTATTTCCTCCTGATGTTAAGTATAAGTTTCCTTTTTGTTTCCATTTTCCCTAAAACTTTGTCTTTGCTCACATATTCAATCCATGGTATCCTCAGCATCCTTGTGTAGAATTACATTTCTGTTGCTTCAAGTCTCTTCTTCATCTGTAAGGAGATTGTCCAACAATCACCGCCACATAGCAGGACAGATATCACATAACAATTCAGTACCCTTAATGGAATTAGAATATTTAAAAAAAAAAAAAAAAAAAAAACATGAAATGGCTATCATTATTTGCAAATTGGATTAATTTGACAAAAAAAAAATGATCTGATTACAGGTTGGGTTACTTTCTAGTTTTATATATACATACATACACACACACACACACACACACACACACACACACACATATATATATATAGATAATATTAATATATATAGATAATATTAACTTGAATTTGTAGGTCTGATGAATTGGATTGTGATTACGATTCCAATGTAATAAATTATAACCATGGAATATTAATCTTTGAGCCTTTTTATATATATATATATATGTAATTAGGCAGCAAGAATTCTTTTAAACAAGTTTTGATAATACTACTGAGAAATTTGTCTTAAACTTTTAAGTCTTGCTCACTTTCAACTCAGTTTTATGTAAGAATTGAAATTGGTAAACTTTCAAAACTTTTTTTTTATAATTTTTTTTTGTATTATTTAATATATATATATGGGGTTTCACAAAAAATCTACTCACTTCTTGACTGACTATAACTTTTTGAAAAATTTTTTCTTCAGATCCATGTTTTTAATTTCATTTAATATTTAATTTAAATTGTTAATTTTATTTATATTTTAATAAAGATTAATATTTAATAATAATTATTAATTTTCACAATTAATCTTGTTTGCAAGACAATAAACACTGAATTCATTATCATTTAAAGAGTGAGTACATTTCAAAGTGATGTTTACATTGATATGCACAAAGGATAGGTGATAATGAAACTTTGTTTTAAATTTTTGAATGTGTCTTTTGGGAATATAGTCTAGCTGATTTCATTTATTTCTTTTTGTTCATATTTCCATCACTTTTCTTATTAAATATTCCATATTGTAACAATAGAAGATTTGCCAAGAAAAGTTAAATTTTGGAAGAACCTGCACCTAAATTTATTGTAGATAATCTAGTGAATAAAGCACTTTCTATGCATTTCATCTTAGTAAGTTGCCTTCTCTTTTAATTAAAATTCTTGATATATAAAAATTTATATATTGTTTTCCCTCCATATATATATATATATATATATATATATATATATATATATATATATATATATACACACACACAGGGTGCTTACACAAAAATGAAAATAACACTGACATTTCATTTTAACATATATATTTAACAAAATGACACAAAAATATTATGAAATGCTAAAGAATGTGGAGCCCTCACAAACAAATTCAGGAGTTCTTATCAGAACAATCAGTGAGATTTCTGAGCTGTCGTACCTTTGTAATCACCATTGGACTCATCTAACTCTTTCTGAATCCTCTGCACTGTCCTCAGATTGACACCCGAACACTCTAAAATGTTTCCATTGGAGCTTCTGTCACAAAATGCAAAACAGTACAGCATGCCATTTCCAAATTTCTGGTGGAGTGAATTGCGTCATGGTGCTCTTTTTCTCATAAATGGTGTCCAACTGACCCTACTATACTGTGCAGTTGACAAAATTAAATACAAACAACACACATGTGCAAAATTAAAAATATAAAATGGCGACAATTTACCCATCGTAGTTTCCCCCGTGTGTGTGTGTGTGTGCACACACACACACACACATATATATATATATATATATATATATATATATATATATAAAAAAAAAAATTGTCTGTTTAATTTTTTTATTGTATTTTTCCAGTTTTCAGATAAGGTGTTGAGTATTCAGGTGGAAGTTGTAGATAAAATGCCTAAAATTCATAGTGTGTTATGTTTGTCCAATTACTTTCGATTTTCTTGGTCATTATCAAGAACTGGTGTGGTAGTTAGACTTCCTTCGTCTACATCCTGGTTTTCCTTGAGAAGCTAGACATTTGAAATGGTCTCACTTGACGTCGTGTAACAGCTTTTGGGAATGAAGCCGCACAAAAAGATTGCGATTTATTTATTTATTTACCTGTCAACTAGTACATCATGAATGACCAAAGTACAACTATCAACATAAGACAAATACTAGTAGAAACACCAAAATACTCTACAGCACTCAATGCAAGGAAAGACTCAAAACTCTGGAAGCTATTATTATTATATAAAATAAACAAATGCATTAAATAAAATATTATTTACTACAGAAGGTATCTTAAAGTGCACTTAATTCATTATAATAATAAAAAAATAAAATTAAATTAAATTAATAAATAAATAAATCACAATATTTTTGTGTGGCCTCATTTCCAATAACCATTACATATGATGTCATGCTAACCATATCAAATGTACAACTTCCCAAAGAATATCAGGATGCAGACAAAGGAATTCTAACTACCACACAAATGACACATTGGTTCTTAATAATGACTGCGAAAGTTGAAAGTACTTGAACAAAAATAACAAAATATGAACTTCAGGCACAATACTCAACACCTTGTCTGAATATTGGAAAAATACAATAAAAAAATTAAACAGATAGACCTCATTGTTGGTTCTTTTTATTCAAACTTGTTTGGATGAATACTTGCTGCCTAAATATACCTTTTTATATATATATATATATATATGTATGCTTCATTGAACGTTGGATTTCATTTTTACCTGTTGCTATTTGTTGTAAAACAAGGTTTTTCTCTGAATATTGTAGTGTTACTTTCCTTGTTGGCTGCCAGGTTATATTTGGGCAACAATCCCTCTTTTATACAAGTTTTTTTGTTAAAAATTAAATCCAGCATTTAACAAAACTTGTATAAAATTGGGATTGCTGCCCAAATATGACCCAGCAGCCAACAAGGAAAGCGACACTACAATATATATTGGGTTAGAAACAAAGTTCCCACACAAGTTTTATTAACAATGATATGCAATGATAGAATGGAGTAAAAGGCTCATATCAAACATTTGGACCTAAGAAATGAATTACAAGACAAAGTCTTCTTTAGACCCAAAGGACAACAATGATTCCTTACAACACCAGACATGTTATTGTCCATTTTCATACATTTTCATTGCATTAGTATTTTAATTAAAAAAAGATACCTTACATGTTCTTTTAAATAAATAAAAAAAAAATTGAACCAATGATAAGTGCATAAAAATGAAAAATCAAAAAATATAAGCAGCCAAATGGCACCTGCTGAAGAGTGGCCAGATAGGTTTGCCTACAAAACTCTAGAGTCAGGATGCTGAAGGTAACGTCACTCAGAC